ATAAAATAATAGAAACAGAATATGTTTTAGAAAATATAGAGCAAAATGCTAGATCAAAAAGACAAACTAGGTTACCCGCAAAATTCGTTGACTATGAAATGGACATAAGCTGTTTGGCCTTACTGAGTGAGTTCTCAGATGTTCCTCAATCATACTCTCAAGCACAACAAAGTTCAAATTGGAATAATTGGGAAAATGCTATTGATGATGAACTCGATGCTTTAAAAAATAATAATACATGGGATTTGGTAGAAAAGCCAGAAAAAGAAAATGTCATTGGAAACAGGTGGGTATTTAGAGTCAAGGATGATGAAAAAGGAAAATGTTTATACAAAGCAAGATTAGTTGCTAGAGGATTTGAACAACATGATTTTGGTGAGTTTGGTCAAATTCATGCTCCAGTTGCAAAACTTTCAACTCTAAGAAATTTATTGGCTATTTGCAATAACTATAATTTGGAATTGGAACAGTTAGATGTTAAAAACGCTTTTTTACATAGTAATATCAAAGAAAAAGTTTTTATGAAAATTCCAGAAGGATTAAAAGTACCAGAGGAGGACAGAAATAAGGTTTGTCTATTAAAACGGGCAATCTATGGTTTAAAACAAGCTCCAAAAGCATGGAATGAAACGTTTAATAGTTTTATGTTAAATGTAAAGTTTAAAAGATCAAAATCTGATTACTGTTTATACAGTTTTCTTGATCAAAATGTAAGATGTTATCTTCTTCTATATGTTGATGATATTTTGATTGCTTGTAACAATATTGAATTTTCAACTTACTTGAATGCAAGACTATGTGAAACATTTAAAATTAAAAAATTAATCAATGACGGATTTAACTTCTTAGGCATTAGAATAATTAGAGATTTGGAAAATAAGACTATTTGTGTAGATCAGATATCTGCTATAGAAATGTTAATTAAAAGGTTCAATGTAGAAAATTCAAAAAATTTCAAAACACCGATAGAAAAGAGTTTAAATTTAAAAAGAAATGCTGAAGAAAATAATATGACAAAATTACCTTATAAGGAGCTACTAGGAAGTCTAATGTATATAATGATGGGAACAAGGCCAGATATATGTTTTAGTATTAGCTATTTTGGTCAGTTTCAAGACTGTGCAACAGATGAACATTTTAAACATCTTTTGAGAGTTCTAAAATATCTAAAAACCACTCTCAGTTATAAGTTATATTTTTACTATAATTCTGATAACTTGGTAGCTTATACAGATGCCGACTGGGCTAATAATGTTAATGATAGAAAATCCATAAGTGGATACTGTTTTAAAATATTTGGTAACTTAATTTCTTGGAGTTCCAAAAAACAAACATTTGTGACTTTGTCAAGCACGGAGTCAGAGTTTGTGGCAGTTTGCACTGCATCATGTGAATTTTTATATATTAAGAATTTGTTATCTGATTTAGAAATTACTATACAGTTGCCAGTTTGTTTGTTTGAAGACAACCAAAGCACAATTAAATTAATTCACAACTTTGAGAATAACAAGAGATGCAAACATATAGATGTTAAACTGCATTTTGTGTTAGACTTAGTAAATAGTAACATGTTAAAATTAGAATATATTCCTACAGATAGTCAGCTGGCAGATGTATTTACTAAATCATTAAGTCATGAAAAATTTTGTAAATTCGTGAAAATGTTAAATTTAGTTTGAGTTTTTGTTTCACCATGAAGCATTTTACAGGTTTGAGGGAGGGTGTTAGAATACACGGAATTTAGGAGCAAACCTTGAAATGTTCTGTTGGCATGAATGACAGAAGGTTGTCATGTCATTTAATTGTCATTAGATAAGTCAAGTCATGGTCATGTCCTTTTTCTTTTTCTTATATAATTGTAAATTGTAACATGTCTTTGAGATTACGCCTAATATAAAATAAAGTATTTTAACACATTTCCAAATATTATTTGAAGAACCTAACATTTACGACCAAAATCCGCCATTTTGAGGGCAACAATGCAAATATGTACAAAATTGATACGAAATATCGTAGTTAAATTAAATAAAATCAAATTAATATTATACATTAATCCAATTAATTCATATTTAAAATGATCTGAACAGACTCTTTCTAAAATAATTTTTAAAAAATCGAAACAAAACAAAAACACATTTACTTTTAAATTCCAATACACTGCAAAGTAAGGTTAAAAAATGCAAAACACTGGACGTAAACAAAGCAGACGTCACGCATGTAGAGGTGGTTGATCCAAGTATTTTTGTGGATCAGGTCAGGTATGCTCACTACGTGGACTCGTTTTAGCACATCACTGCGCCGATCAAAATCCACCATTTTTTTAATACGTCACATGCTTGACGTCTGCTTTGTTTCCTTATATGATGGATCAGGTCAAACTGATACGCAATAAACAAAAATACCTGATTGTGGTAAGTCCATGATTTTGTGGGAATAACTAGAAAATTATTTGTATTGCTGAGAAATTAATTAATTTGTTTCAAAATCTTAGTATATATATATATATATAATATATATATATTAATATATATATATATATATATATATGTATGTATGTATTATGGCAAATTTGAACAAAAAATATAATAATATATATATATATATATTATATATATTATATATATAATATATATAATATATATATATATATATATATATATATATATATATATATATATATATATATATATATATATATATATATATATATACCTATATATGTATTATGGCAAATTTGAACAAAAAGATAATATATATATATATATATATATATATATATATATATATATATATATATATATATATATATATATATATATATATATATATCATTCTTTTTGTTCAAATTTGCCATAAAACGATCTTTATACAATTCAATTTAGAATATAAATGCCTTATATCATATTACATTCAGCTAAGATAAATATTAACATCATCCAGATGCATACACTTACTATGAGTACAGTACCCGTACCATGGACGTATAAATAAAGATCTTTATTTATACGTCCATGACCCGTACTCGTTTATTATAATTATAATATATTGGTGTTAGGGATCAGTTCCACAAGTATAAATAAAATACATGTTCCAAAGTAACTGGTACGGGATCAGGTCACCGTCCCTACACGCATGTGACATATTGAAAAGATGGTGGATTTTGGTCGGCGCAGAAATGTTCAAAAACAAGTCCACCTAGTGAGCATACCTTGTTTCCTTATATCATGAAGTCAATCCTTTTCCAAAACGTTTGTAAATTGATTGGTGTCAATAAGACCAAAACGACACCTCTGCATCCTCAATCAGATGGAATGGTCGAGAGAGTGAACCAAACGATGGGTAAACACCTGTCCAAAGTTGTATCAGAACATCAAAGAGATTGGGACCAGCACATTCATTTATTCCTAATGGCCTACCGCTCGGCCGTGAATGAAACTACAGGCCAGACTCCAACCTGCCTGATATTAGGTCGTGAAGTTCGTTTGCCCTGCGACCTAGAGTTTGGCTGCAGACCTTCTGAAGAACACGTTGCAAGCGAAGATTATGTCGACCGCCTAAAGTTAAGAAAGAACAACATTCATGAACTTGCCCGACAACACATCCAGTTAGCCAGTGACAGAATGAAAAATCAATACGATTCTTGATGCAAGAATGAAAGCTATGAAGTAGGTGATCTTGTTTGGCTTTATAATCTACAACGTCGTCGTGGATTGTCTCCTAAACTGCAAAGACAATGGGAGGGTCCGTATGAAATTAAAAAGAGAATAAATTATGTAATATACCGAATTAAGAAGTTGCCGAAAGGTAAACCTAAAGTAGTTCACATAAATCGTCTTGCAGCTTATTCTGGCTCAAATGAAACAGAAGAAGCACGAATCCTTCAACATGAGATCAAAGATGACCGGTGACTAAGCTTTAATGAATTTATGTCAACTTACGCAGAGAGAAAGAGTGCTAGATTCGGCGTGACGACAGAAGTACAGCAGGACCTGGCCCTCTGTGTTGCCCAAGATCTTGAGATGACAAAAGGAATCTCATCCGTATTTTATAAGAAGTTCGGTCGTTTGGACGAGTTAAAAAAACCAGCAGCCTAAAGTTGGAAGAGTCCCGAGATTAGAAGATGGTTCTCGATATTTGCTGTATATGGTGACCAGGAAGTCGTATACAGACAGGGCAACCTACGAGGATATATGGCGTGCTCTAACTAATTTGAAGAAAATCGTCTGAAATTACGAGATTAAGAATTTGGCCTTACCCAAGATAGGCCATGCGCTAGATAATCTGGATTGGAAGATTGTTAGAAGCATGCTTGCATTGATCTTCCGAGAAACCGGTGTAAGAATTATTGTGTGTTGCACTAATCCGAAGAGATCGTGTCCTTCAAAGAAAGTAGACTGTTATTTCTTTCTGAGGGGTTCATGCAGAGCTGGAGAGTCCTGTAGATTCCGCCATCCTGGGCCTACATATAGAGTTGCTGATCGGGACGCTCAGATCTAAGAGGGGAGCAGTGTTACGAACATGCTTTCGGCATGGCCCGCCTAACGGTTGCATCTCGAAGCATCTCAGGCATCGAAAACCATCGATAGATCCCTCGACCGCAAGAGAACAATCCGTCACGTATTTGACTCAATTAAAATTAGAGGTGGGAACTTTCTAGAACATAGTAACTTTAGTATATATATGTAACGAAATTAGGAGTTAAGTTGAGTTGATAAGATAGTATCGAACTGTAAAGTTATAAATAAATATATTTATATAAATTCGAACCGCTCGTTTTATTTAATCTCGTTACAATATTGTGAAATAAATTAGTGAATATTGTAATAAAGACTTTAATAAATTTGTAAGTGTAATAAATAGAACGTTTGATAATAAATAAAGACAATAAATTAGATTAATAAGAATACTACGCAAAGTTATGAAAACAAAAAGGTTTGGTCGACAATTTACAGCTTTCATCGATAGTAAGTTCACCCAATATGCACTAAAAATCGTTGATTAGATGTAAAAAAATAAATATGGCCATTTTATTTTATAAAATTACAGTAAAATATTTCACACGCTTTTTCATTACATCACATATTTCAAAACTGGGAGCCGTTTTTCTCAAAATCTACTATACAAATTTCAGTAAACCAAATGCTTTTTATGCTTTATATATACGACTACTAAATAAACCTCTAAAATGTTAAAAAAAACACCCTATCTGTTTATTACAGGGTTAATTTCACCCGCAAAACGTTTATTGTTATAAAATCGCATATAAATGCCTTAAAAATATAGGGTATATTTATTAGCTTTTGAAGTCTCAAGAACTCAATCCCTTTAGAATTAAAAAAAGTTTGTTACAAAGAGTTTCCAAAATTATGTATCTTTTGAAAGACAGTGGTGAAAAACAAATAAGTGCCAAATTTTTTTTATACCTCAAATCATTCTTAACAATGAATAAAAAAATTATTATAACCATAAATATAATAATTTTTTTTGTTTAATATTTTAAAATTGTGTTTTCTTTCAATTTAGAAAGTAAAAGTCCCTTTAATATTCATTTATTATAAATGTGTCTTCTCGGAACTAATCCAAGTCTTTTAAGATTTCTGCCACACTTTTAGCTTTCGTTTCTACAACAATAAACAAACAAAATGGTACCGCTAAGATACAAACTCCAGAAAAAATAAAAAAAGCTGGACCAATTCCTATTAGAAGTACCAAAGGTTCAAAATACTTGCCTATAATAAACCCAGCTGTCCAACAAATAGCTGCAGTGATCGAAGAAGCATACGACTTTACATTTGGTGGGAACGTTTCTCCCATAATAACCCAAGGTAACGGACCGTATCCAAAGTTATACATAAATATATAACCAATGAGGCAAATAATAGGTAAAAACGTTATTGACGAAACGTCGTAATGGTGAGAGTTTAATAAACAGTAAATACCTAGGAGAATTTCTGACACAGCCATACCAGCTGCTGATATGAGTAATAATAATTTTCGACCCCAACGGTCCACTAAAAACGGAGTAAGAAAACTAGTAAGAAATTGCACAGATCCAATAATGATGGAGCAAATCTCTGGTCTTAAAGAACTGCCAGCTTGTTCAAATATAGATTGAGCATAAAAAAATACTGCGATTACTCCAGAAAATTGTTGAATCACTCCCAATGTAATCGTAATACCAATAGCTTTTGTTAGTGATTTAGATTTAAAGATATCTATTACTGAACCTTTTCCGTCTTCTTCAATTTTATTCTGAATCATATCAAGTTCTTGATTGATATCTACATTGTAACCTCTCACTTTTTGAAGACAGATCTTTGCTCCTCGTATATCATTTTTGCTTAGCAAATACAGTGGAGATTCTGGTGCAATAAGTGTAAATATTACCAAAAATATTATTGGAAATGTTCCTAAAATTATATTAAATGTCATCAAATTTACAAAGGGGCCTAAACAATAAGAAAAAAATAGCCCAAAACATAAATAGACATTCATCATTGAACCCAAAGTTCCTCTATTTGAACTATCAGCGATTTCTCCAGCATACATTGGTATGACAGTATAAACGCCACCTAAAGCTATACCCAAAAAGAATCTAGCAACATAATATACAGCAAGATGTTTGCTAAATGCAAGAAGATAGTAGCATACTACAAATGGTATCCCACTTATAATTAAAGTCTTCTTTCTTCCTATCTTATCTGCTAAAAATCCGAAAATAAAAGGTCCAAATATAGCGCCTAATGGAAAAAAAGACGATATCCATGACCTTTCTTCTAAAGACACTGGATGATCAAAAGGAGTTGTTATTTTATTTCCTAGTCTGTCTAGCACAGGAGAAGTCCATGTTAGGACGGTACCAGCTACAAAGCTGACGATGTTTGCTAAAAAGAAAAAAAATATTTATTTTAATTTTAATTAATTTTAAAATAGTTAATCAATTGCAAGAGATAGATATGTTTTATAGACACATTAACAAATGATTGAATTAAAAAGAAAAGTAATTTGAAAGTGTGTAAACCATTTAATTCCTAGCTAACTGCTTTCTTCAATACAATAACTTAATATAAGTAATTTTTTAAACTATTATTCTGAAGCTATTTTCTTTTGATATCCTAATACAATTTACTGTTTTTATTAGGAATAAGCTACAATTTTACTTTAAAATAAGTTTATTTTAACGTTTATATTTCCACTTCAGAAATCGTTCTCAAAATACAAAACATTAATCAATTCAAAAAATTTTGTTTTTTTTTCTTGGTAAAAAAAATTTTCTAATAATCAAATTTTATCTAATTCATTCATATTGACAATTTGGACATACATTACAAATTTTAAAGTAGATGACGTTAAAATGATATTGTCAATATTTTTGAGTTGCGTTCCTGGGACGACTTTATTGAAAGATAGTTCATTCAATTATATGAAATCAACTTTAACCTAAGAATACCCGTCAGAAAAATTATAGTATTTGATTTGCCTTTAAAATACAACCACAAGCAATGATGACAGTAAAATTTTCCTGTTAGTGATTCTATTGTAAATTAAGAGGAAAAAACCTCATGATACTATCCCGACATGCTAAATATTTGATCTTGCTCAATTCAATATAAGCTTGCTCACCTATTTCAATCGTTCGAAAAATTAATAATAATCCAATACTTCAAACAACTAAAATAAGTGACAGTGGTATTTCTAAGAAGTTTGATACTGTGGACAAAGACATAATTCACCGTAAAGTGTACGCTATGTATAAATAAAAATTGGTGCCGACATTATGACAATATTCTTAAAAAATTTAATACATATGATACTAGAATTAAGTGCGGTAAAACAAGTATGTGGAAGTTTTGTGTCGCATAGGATTTAGGTTTAAGAAAATGAACAAAATAGAATTATAGAATTCCATCGTCTACACATATCAGTCACCTAGATTCAAAACCCGACAAGTCACAATTTTTTCAAAACCTTTTTTATTAGATATAAGAATTTGAAATACATAAACCTTCAAGTCCATAATACATTTATCAAGCAAATCCCGACATATCCGATAATTATAATCTCCCAAAAATGTACCTTAGATGCAAATACCGACATGTTCATTCTCGTTTTAAATGCAAAAGCCGACACTTCCAATCCGCCAATAGACGCGTAGTATTTTACTCGCCACCTGATTTCGGTTGGCAACGTGTTAGCCAAGCAGATCAGTTGAGTTTATGCTTTTAAGTAAGTTGTTTGCAGTGTGTGTAATAAATTGCTAAAATAATGGATTCATTGGCAACTTTAAATACTGTTGGACAATTTATTAATGTAAAACAGTGTGATGTGACAAAGGCTCGAAAAAGAGCGAACGTCGAAACAAGAAGAGAAAAGGCAAAACGTGCAAGGTATAATCTATAATATTACAATAAATTAGTACATTATTTGTAATGAAATAATTATTTTTAGGTATGATGCCAAAACATTACTTGTGTACCCCACCTGCGACCATAAGGGAAAGCCATATCAACAATTTCAATGTACATCTCATCTGTCCATGAATGATGTAAAAGCCTTTCATTCAGCTTTTTATCAAAATAAGGATAAAAGGGGACCAGACATCTTCATTTTACGCAACATTGACTCACATATCCCGGTAAGAAAAAGGAAACGAACAGCCAACAAAAATAAACCAAAATCTTGTATTTTATCGTACAAATTGAACAACAGTGACAGCCTAATTGTTCCTGTATGTCGAACAGCTTTCCAAGTTATTCTGGGAATTAAAAAAGATAGAATTTTAAACATTATGAAAAACTACCAGAAACATTCGCTTACTCCTACCGAAAGAAGGGGCGGAGATCGAATTGGACAAAAAAACGAAGGTAAAAACGAAGGTATAAAAAAATTCATCGAGTCCCTAAAATGTGCTGAATCTCATTATTGCCGTTCAAAAACATTTAACAGAATTTATTTGCCTGCTGAAAAGCACAACAACGTCTCCACAAAGTAAGAAGTGAGAGTTTCTATACACTTCTTCAAGAAGAAAGAGACGACATGGTCACATTTTCATTTGATTGTCAGAAAAATTTGGCGAAAATTCAAACGAAATATCGTCGTTCTTGCACCACTTCCTTTCAAATTTTAATTTTGTGGATAATGTACGTGTTCTTCGGCTTATTTGCGATGGGTGTGGAGCACAGAATAAAAATTCCATGGTCATCACCATGCTGAGCTATTGGCTTCAGTTTGAAGCTCCAAAACAAATAAAGGAAATTGAGATAGTGTTTCCTGTTGTGGGGCATTCTTATATTTCCCCTGATCGTGTGTTTGGACAAATTGAAAGAATTTACAAAAAAACACACGGTAATTGTTCATCCTCATGAATATGTAAAGTTAATCAAAAAGTTTGCCACTATTTACAGAGCTGAAACTGGTGTTGCAATTAAGGACTGGAAGGCTGAAACTCAAAAAGTAATAAAACAATCAGGCTATTGGCATTTTAAGTTCCAACCGTCAAAGAGAGTAATCATTACAAGAGGACAAACAGGACCACTTATAAGGGGTGAGGCATTTTACAAAACTGACTTATGCGCACCCAAAAGCTTATGCAGAAGAGGAAAAAAAGTCTCACAAATTAGTCTAAGAACACTGAAGGCTGGGATAGCGATTAAAGAAGATAAGAAAAAAGCTATTGGAGAAACACTACGGAAAGGGATGGCAAGATAGAGATGAACTGGTCTTTTTCAAAGAAGTATTCCATGACGCTATAGAGGGGGGACAAGGCAGTGAGGCAAATGAAGAGGAAGATTATTGCGAAGCAGAAACAGTTGGCTTTGCAATATAAAATAGTGGATAAATGTTATCTTGCGTTGTTGAGTAATTAAACTTATTTTTCTAATAGAATTCAATTTTCTTTTCCTTCAAAATATTAAATTCATCTGCAAACCCCGACATGTCCAAAATATATCATACAATTACCTGTTTCTGGTGGCCCCTAGATTTTTTTCAAAGTGTTTTTTTATGTAAAAAGTGAAACTGGAACAAACCATGAAGTGGAGATATCCAGGAGTGGCTAGTATACCTGTTGAATACAAAGCACGTGGTGGTCGTGTGTATTAAGGTATAAAAAAAAATGCTTATTAAAAGCTTAAAATTTTTATTTTAAAGAAGATCTTTTCGGAATTAAATCATTCCATCATCAGTTTACTAAAAGAGAGAGTAAAAATACCAATATTAAAAAACAAGTAAGTTAAAATTTAAATATATAAAAAGAACACGTTGGTTTTTTACTACTTACATAAAAAGTTGTCAAACATTGTATGGCCACATGAAAACAAAGGAAGGAACTCTGTATTAAAAAACTATCATCATGGTGTTTATCTCCTGAGGTATTCTGAGTTTATCTGGTCAATAAAACCTCACCAACTACAGTATCGGAGGGAAAATAAATCGATTATTTATATAGATGAGACATGGTTCGATACACATGAAGAGGTTGGTTTGACAACAGCGAACACTGTAACAAAAGCTACTTCCAATAAAGAAAAACGCGTAACGTTATTCCATGCCGGATCAGTAAACGGATGGGTTCCAAACAGTCTTAATCTGCCAAAAATATTAGTTTATCTTGCATCGATTACCACCAAGACATAACCCGCGAATGAATTTGACCACCAAACATTTAATTGTTATGAAATATACCACCAAACATGTAATTGTTATGGAAAATGCGTCTTATCATATTAGATAATTGAATAAAGCTCCTTGTGACAATAATACTAAAATTACTATTTAAATTTAATAATAATAAATCTGTTAAATAGTTTCGAAACCAATTCAGATTTCTGCTCTAATCTGAATCTTCTAAAAATTGCAAGGTATAACAGACGTTGATAAAGATGTTAATAGAGACATGGGGAATCTAAAATTTGCATTCCACGACATGTCTCCTCAACTAAGCAGAAATCCTTAGCGAATTGGTTTCTTGTACTCATACAGAGTAGATCCGAATAAAATGAAAAAGACAGTCAAGATTTGATTTCACGTAAACTATTTTACGGATTTATTATCAGATGTCCTCAATTGCGTCCTCAAAATAGTGTGATAGTAATGGACAATGCATGTAACCACAGTCGTCAATTACATAAGTCTCCAAGTGCAAATAACACGAAAATTGAAATTCAAAACTACCTGTTAGAAAACGATATATATTTTGAAGAAAGTTATTTAAAAAATGAACTGTTAGAAGTGTTAAAATCATTTTCTATTAAAATAATATATGTTTGTGACGTATTGGCTGAGGACATGGGACATACAGTGTTATAGCTTCCGCCCTACTATTGTTTATTTAATACCATAGAGCATATGTGGCACCAACTAAAGTCAAATGTTAGGTCATAAAATGTTTCTCCGACTTTAAGTGGTAGTGTAGTCGAATTAATAAGGAAATGTGTTGATGATATCTCCCCAGAAAATTGGAAAAATTTAGTACGCCATGTAATGAACGTAGAAAAGTCATATGTTACTTTTAATCACATAATTAAACCAATTGTTATTAATCTTGAAGAGGATAGCGACAGCGAAACAGAATTAGGTATTTAGGAATTTATAAATATATTTTGGTTATTAGGGTATTTTTTTTGTAAATATTAACTTGTATATATTTGTCTATATTTTTTTTCACTTCATCTATTTTTTGTACATTATGTATTCGTTTGTATGTATATACTGTAAATAGAACTATTATTACTGTACATTTTTAACGATATCCGATTAGGAAGAGCAAAAACTTTTAAACACGCCAGTTTTTTGTTGACAGTCCTAAGCCTGTAAAAAATGTGAAGGAAAGTACCTTTCTTTATTTAGATCCATATACTACAATTATTCACGTAGAACAAAAAAA